CTCCTTCGATTTTTCCATTTGTACCATCACAACGATATAATACGTAATTTTCTATAAGTGTATCAGAAAGTTTGTTAAGCTAAGTTTTAGCAATGCAGATTAAATCTGGAAAATATACCTTGATGGTATAACACAAATCATCTATTTTATTATTTAAAGAAGTGGCAAAAAGTGGAAGTTGGTACAAAAACAGTTTAAGTTAGATTTAAAGTCAGGTTTAAATTTATTTTTTTGTTGTGGTAAATTGTTTTTAATTAAAGATATTTATTTTCAAAACTTTTAACAGATTCATCTAACAGATAATTGTAAATAAATTTAATAGATTGTTTTATTATTGTTTGAGCCAGGAAAATTATAAATTTTTGCTTGTTGGAAATTTGGCAGGGTGGCCACTTTAAATTTTTATAAGAAAAAGAGAATATTAGAAGATTTTAAAGGAGATTTTGCATTTTATTTAGAGGATTTTTTCACAAAGCTAAAAAATTTTAAATAAAAATGGAGAATTTTAGAGGATTTATTTAATAGGTTTAACATCCATGTTTCCACATAACTGGGGTTTGGACAGGGGTCAACAATGTCATTTTTTATGTTAGATAACATGGATTTGCTAAAATTTATTTTTTTTAACCTAATCCTCATTTCAGATATTACCCAGTTTTGCAGACAATGAATTTTGAACATTATACTACCATCAAGAAATAAAAAGAAAAAAAGAGGAGTTAAAGAGGAGATATTATCACATTTTTAACTTTTTAGAGAATAATAGTGGATTTTAAAGGAGGTTTTTAAAAAAAGAGGACTTTAGAAGATTTTAAAGGAGCTGTGGCCACACTGCTTGATGATGTTGTTATTCTAAACACCATATTTATAATCTTTTATGTTTTTATTATCTCAGTCATTATTAAGTCAATTACGTTCATCTATTAACTGTTTGGAAAAGTGTTCTTGAGTTGGCTTTATATATCATAGTTAATATAAATATTTTTGAAGTAACTACTTTTTCTTTATTGCTTTGCTGTTTTAATTACGATTAATTTCGACTAATTTCAGGCTAAGATTTTTATTATTTGTGCTTCGAAACTATGAATTTTTGCAATTTTAAGACAATCAGCACCAATCTCCTCAAATAGCTTTAAAACAGCCCCCCTTTCTCATCCAATTCTTTTTCATTAATATCAAGTTTGTTTGACTCTGTTATGATAAAATAACATTTTTTTCTTTATGTTTTATATCATTTTGCTCAACTGTGATTGTACTAATAATATTAACTGCAGGAACGTTAGGTTTGTTTGCCATTTTAAAAAGGCTACTAAAACCTTTTATTGGATTTTCTTCTGATATTGTAAAATTTATTTCAAAATTCTTGACTTTTTTCTTTCTTGCATTGTTTTCAACTTCAACCAAACTTAATTTAATCTTCAAAATTGTATTCTTCTCTTGATGTTCTTTGATGATATCTTAACTCAGCAAATTCAAATTTTTTAACCATATTTTTGAACCAATAAATACAATATATGAATTTCCCGATTTTTTTAAATAGTAAAAACTCCATTAACTACGTTGCGTGCGTCATTTTCTATCAAAGGTATTTATACAGTTTTTATTATTAAATTAATTTTAAATTTTTATTCCATTTAATCTTATTTATATTATATTTTAAACAAGCTTGCTTTGTCTAGTAAATGAAATTTTTAAAAATGAAGGGTTTTTCAACTAGGGTCAGCAGACACTATAACTGCAACAAATTACAATTTTTGTTCAATGTTGGAATAAGGCTGCTAAACATTTTATGCTTATATTGACATAATTGTTGAATGACATATTGACACAATTGTTACTGTTCTAAAGTCTTTGTTGTTTATTAAACTAATCATGAAAATTGATTTAAAAGATTTAAATTTATCATTAAAAATATATACTTTTTATTTTTAAAAATTATACATTCCTTAGTAATTTGAATTAAATGTTTTTATTGTAAACAACCTTTAAATTTTTTATTTAGTTTTTACTTTATTTAAAAGTATTTTGCATAATACAAAAACATTTAATTAGAGAAGATCAAAGTTTCTAATTATCTTTCTGAGTACAATGTTCTCAAAACATCTAAAAAACTATGGTCAAGTTGTTGAAAAAAAATGTTATACATGTGGTTAAAAATAGAATGCATGCTTATGCTTACCAAGACTGCATTTATAATAAACAAAACTGGATTTATAATAAACAAAACTGGATTTATAATAAACAAAACTGAACTTATAATAAACAAAAGTTAATAGACAACTTCCCATCGCTCAGCAATTGACGATTAGTGTCATACTATTACTGTCATTATTATTATTAATAAACAATTTTAAAAAAATGTATTTTAAAGAAACAATTCAACATTTAAAAACAATTTAAAATTAATTACCTGTAGTTAGTTTCAGAAATAAATCATTTAGCAAAGATAAAACTGGAGCTGTTAAACTCAATTTTGAACAGCCAGACAAAATATTGTCACCTAAATAACATGATAAATCTTTGAACAAAAACAAAAAATAACAAAAAACTTCTATAAATAATTGAAGCAAACTGATTTATATGAAAACTAATTTTTAGTAAACAAACCAGAAACCAAACTGAATCTAACAAATCATAAGACAACTTTATATTTTTATTTTATAACTTTATTTTCCAACTTGATTATCCTTGTGCAGTTGTTTTACCAAAATTGATGCAACGAACACAGTAAAATATTTGTTTTAAAATATTTGTCCTGTTTTAAAGTGTTGGGTTATACACATATGTGCAAAATTTAAAAACTGTTATACTTTCTTGATATCACATTTAACTTTTCTGACAGACAGGTGGTATAAAAACAAAAACTCTTTTTATTATAAAATTAAAGCTAACTCCACTGAACCAAGGAAATTTTTATGGGAATGCAAAAATAAGGATTTAGAGCATATCCTAACATGGAATATTCTCAACCAAGTGAAGCCATTTAAACCAAATAAATTTTGCAACTTATGCTTGACAGAAAAATACTACATTATTACATTGTTGTTAAAATTACTCAATAAACAAAATGAACTTACATCAAAGTGCCGCAATAAAAAGAAATTTCTAAAACTTTAATATCATCAAAGTGGACGCTACATAGTATTTTTTTGTATATAACTTTTGTTGTTACGTTCGTTTTTTACACCTAATTTTGACTTCTATTGCATAAAACCTTTAGTTATGTATTTAAATATCTTACTAACTAGTTTTTAATATCTTACTAACTTTCACTATATTATTTGCTCTACCTATTATATAACATGCTGAATAAAGCACTCTTACTGGAAATACTAGCTACCGCTCTCCCCCACACTCCCCTAAAGTGGTTTACAGGAGCAATTTATGGCACTTGCAAAAGTATAATTTTGTCATAAATATAAACTGCTATGTTTTTCTCAATTTAAAAAAAAAAAATTTTTTTAATCATCTATTGAAATGCAAATGTTTTCATTTAGAATGGATTAACTTATTAGTTTCTTAAATAAAAAATCAATTACTTATAAATATGCCATTATGGAAAAACAAATTTATAATATTCTGTAATAATTCATTTTTCTAATTCAAGGCCATGTCTTCTTATTAAAGCTATTATTTAAAATTCAGTTTACAACATTAAACATTTTCAAGTAAAACATACTTTTTAAAATTAATACCTGTTTTTTTTTTTATTTTGTTGTATTTTATATTATGTAATGAATTGTATAATGTATATATTAATTATAATGAATTATATAAATGTCAATTAAATGTTTTGCTAAAAAAAATCGTAATTTTATAACAACTTTTTGGAATAGTGAAATCTGTAACTGTTGTAATAATTCTTAAACTTCCTGCATTACTACAAGAAAATATGAAATATTTTTTATAAGTAGCAAAAACTTAGATCTTTATTTGTAAAAGTTCTATCAAAAAAATAAGTTGTTAATATAATAGCTAGAGTGAAAGCCCAAAGAAAACACTTGTATTTCAAAGTTTTTTCAAAAATGGAATATTTTATAAGTTTTCATGGTACTATAAACAATGCTCGTTATGTATATATTCTTTTAACTTTATCGTTAGAAGCATATGCGTGTAATGAATATAAAACCTATATATTGAATAAACAACTTTTTTAATGAGTTATCTAATAACTTGTGTGAAAACCCAAAGCTGTTTAGAGGAGCAACTTAGGTAACTTATTTAAAACATACATACTTGTAATAAACACTGCACTTATTGCAAGTGATAAAATTAATCATTATATCAAAGCGAAACATCCATGATATCATCAAAAGTGATGCAGATTTATAACCTTACCAAAAATTTGAGATCTTGCATATAAATAAATGATCATAACTAAATTATTTGATTGCTGAGCATCTAACTTCATTAATATTTCATTTGTAATGCAGCCCAGATTTATTTTGTTAATTGATTATTAATTTTTAAAAAATAATGGTACAAAATTATAACCATATTTCAATTTTGTTCAACAAAATTTGATGACATGGTGTTTTTTAATTTGAATTTATTTACTTTGCTTTATTACAACAATTCTGAATAACCTTAAATGTTCGATTTGGCATACTTTCCAAATGTTTTCTGAGGTCAGCTAAAGGTATGCTCTCCCAAACATCAAAAATTACCTTTTTTAACTTATCGACATTTGAATATTGTTTCCCTTTCATTAACACATTTTGCTAAAATGCTCCATATTTTTTGATGAGATTTAAATCTCGCGAGTGCGAGAGGGCTGGCCATTCTAATAACTGAGTTTTTTGAGCTGGTGAACCACGGAATATTTGACTTATAAATTGCTCTATAAATTGGAGCATTATCTTGCTAGAAAATAAATATCACACTTTCAAATTTTTGTGAAATATCTTTCAAATGACCATTCAACAAATTTCTATATTCTTTGGCATTTTATTTAATAGTAATAAAGCTAATTGTTCTTTTTCCAAAACAACCGAAAGCACTGTAAATCATTACTCTCTGCCTTCCATAGCAATTTATATAATTAATTATAATTAATATATACATTATACAATTCATTACATAATATAAAATATAACAAAATAAAAATAAAAAGCGTCATCAGTTACAGCGTGAAAATTTAAGTCTATCTAAAAAAAAATACAATATTAAATTGAAACTATTTTATTAAAAAACAAAAATCAGCGATGAAATACTCTAAATAATAAAGGAAAAAAACTACAACCTCACTAGAGGATGTAGTTTCTTTTTTTAAAGGGACCTAGAAAATAGTTTGAGTTAGCGAATGTTCGAGTTATCGGGACATTCTATAACACAAACTTTGGCTAATAAGTAAAAACAATTCCAGTTATTAAAAGTTTTGATCTCAAAAGTAAAAATAATACATTATAAATTGAAAAATGTTCCAATGTCACTCTGTTTTATTTTTGAAGATACATCTCTAACGAATATAATTGAGACAGCATTGAGCTTTTGTTGCAAATCTTCACCCATAAGACTGAAGGGCATATAGTCATACAACACTTGCAGTGCCTCCCGAATATCACTAACTTTTGGGCAAATCGATTGCATTATTATCATCATTATCTTCCTCGTCATTATCATCATGTTTATTGGCTACATTTTTGAAAGGTTGAAGTTTAGATGTGGTATTCGGTGGTAAAAAAATGAGCTCAATAGATTTTAGATTATCAACCGTCAGGTGTGCTGGGCAGTTATCTATTATGAACGCTACTTTCTTCTTTTGATTTGTAAACTTTGTATGCATTTCTCGATTCTACTCTTCAAACAGTACGCTATCCATCCAACTTTTAATTTGATTTCTGTATCTGCAAAGTAAGTGCCTAATTCTTTTGAAGCAGCAAGGTGATTTTGATTTTCCTATTACAAAAATAGGAATTATATCACCCGTTGCACTTGATGCGACCATTCTTGTAAGACGAATTTTACTGTGCTTTCCCCCTATACATGTCTTAGATTAAAGATTAAGTGACTTTTTCAGAAAGCTCTCTGGCATTTGTTTTAAAAATTGTTGCTAATACTTCCACGTTTCTGCTCCTTACATTTAAAAGCCATTTAAAAACAAGATTATCTAAATTTGAAAATGTTCCTTCTACACGTTTAGACTTGTTCCCTTGCGTTTTCATACATTCAAAAAAAATTTCTTTATTTTTGATCCATGTTGACAGTGTATTTTTTGGAATGCCATATTTTATAGCAACCTGAGACTTAGACAATCCTTCTCCAATTTCCCTTTAAGCAGCACACTAAAATTGATTTTGTATTCATTTTTCTTTTTACAGCAACAGTAGCCATAATAAAATGTAAGCACAACAAATTTTATTATAATATTGATATTGATTATTGCAATGTACGTAAGTATAACTTAAACAATAAACTTAATCAAACTATTATTATAGTTAACATTGCAACAATGCAAGGACTTCATTGCAGTTTTGGAACTGATAAAATGGTTCAACTTAACGGGAATGTTAAAATAATTTGCTTAAAGCGAATGTTCGAGTTAACGGGTGTTCAAGTTATCTAGCTGTTTTTATGTGAAAGTATTAGTGAGGGTTCAAGGGGAACTCAAAAATAAATCGAATTACTGGAAGTTGGAGTTATCCGGGGTTCGAGATATAGGGATTTCACTGTAAAAAAATTTGATCGGACACTGTCCGACCCAAAAAAGTTTTGCTCGGATATTTTGTCCGGGACTTTTTTCAAAATTAAATTTTTAAAAAAATCTTATTTCAGGCCCTGATATATATATACAGGGCCTGAAATAAGTGCCGGACATCGGACATTATCATTTTGTCTGACATATGTTTTATATGCATTTAATTTCTAATCATTTTAGTTGTTCCAAAATTATTAATAAATTCAATATCGAATATAAACTTTTTTTTTGAACTTTAATTTTTTTATACCAAACAAAATTGAAGTTGATCACAAAGCTACGTTAATAAAATAGGTCATTTTTTTGAGTTAATTCATTTTTTAAAAGATGCCAAAACATTACATTTTTTTTAAATTAAGTAGCCCAGTTTTTATCATTCATATTAAAACAATGCAATTAGTTATTAATTTAAATTTATAATTTAGTATTTTTATTTTGTTTGTCTGATAGTTTTTATAAATTTCAAACAGCTAATTTAGCTTTCAAAATCCCTTTTAAATTTGTTTTATAAAAATTTTAACGCCATAGCTATTTTAATACTTATAGAAATCAGTACTTTTAATTACACTATTAAATTTGAGTTGTTACTTAACATTTGTTTTTGCGTTAAAATTTTTTGCTATTAAAAGTGTTAATAAAATTAATCCTAGAAAAATTTTAAAAAGATTTAAAAAAAAAAATACATATTAATATAAATGTAAATACTTATATTATACTTTGATAATTTAAATAAAATGTGTTATTTGTAAACATAGAATTAATTTGTAACTTTAAAAACTTTAATAAAGTAATAAGTAATATTT